ATTTAAGACCTTGTATGTGAGGAGCAGGATTTTGAATTCAATTCTGGATTTAACAGGAAGCCAATGAAGGGAAGCCAAAACAGGAGAAATATGCTCTCTGTTTCTAGTCCCTGTCAGGACTCTTGGTGTTCTGCTTTATTTATTCTTTTAGTAAATTCAGAGCTTTGGGTTTTGTTTTTCACTACACATTGTGTTCTTGTTCATAGCAGTACTGTAGTAGTAATGAGCTGTCTAAGTGTTTGTTTCTCCCTGTTGTCCTTTGTCTGTGTCATCTTGCCAAGTGGAGGCTTGGTTCTTTGTTTGTCTCTCATTTTGTGTTTTACTTTGAAGGATTGGTGTCCTCAGATCGATTCCTTTCTTGCTTCCGACTTCAGCTGGTTATTTTCAATTTACAGTCTTTAGAGAGATGATGAGCTGTACCATGAAACTATGGTAAAGAGTTACTGAAGCTAGGCTAAGAAGAGAGATGGCGATTAGTGAGCAGCAGTCATTAAAAACCTCTACAGCTGTGCTGTTTGCTTTGAGAGCATTAAACTGTTGTCATTTATCAAAGGTGTAGCATTATCAATATAAAGCCCACCTTTCTTCTCTATAAACACTTTTACACTGTGAACAGTTTGAGGCTGCTCTCTGAGTCCAAGACCAAATATGACCTTTCCACTTTTTTAGTGAATTTTAATCTGTTTGTCATTCCCCCAAAAGAAATCAGCAGTGATGTGAAGTGTGACATGTTCTCATTTCTAAGCATTTCTAAGCATTTCTAAGCTGAACTGCAACCTAACTCTAATGCTCCAGTGATGACCTGGTGGACATTTATGAAGCAGCTGCTCTGCTGTAACAGCCGGTGTCACAATGAGATGGGAGCACGCTATCAGTGTTATTCATGATCATTTCAAGTTTCTGGCTCTGTGTTGATGAGTTTGTAGTTTATCAGACACTAAAAAGAAATGATCTCTCTTTTTATCCTAAATTATTGAATCAGCATAAAAGTGAGTGATTGTAAAACACTGAAAAGACAACTTACAGAATCAGGTTTATTCTCCTCTGTGCATGTTTAGTTATGAAGCACAATATGTAGGCTATGATTAAAAATCCACATTTTGAGTTGTTAAAAAGCTAATTTTCAAATTTAAGGAGATTTAATTAAAAAAAAAAAGCAGTATATGTGCTTACAAAGCACAAATTAAACACTTCTGTTGTTTGAGCACAGAGAAATAAAAACTGCTGCGTCAAACACACCCATCGTGAAACAAAGCTTTTCTGCAGCCACTGAATGATGCTTCCGCTATATTCAGTGTGCAGGAGGTGGGAGGGAGGTGTGTGTCAGTTAGCCACAATCAAACTAGTCAAATTTTCCATCTGACAGTTTTTAGAAGCCCACAGAACCACACGAAGAAAACCAGTGAAACCAGATCACTGACATGGAAACAAGAGGCAACAACCATGAATAAAACTACAACAACTACAACCAGTTAGCGAAGGCAGAGAACATATTAACATAGTGCTGATTTTGCATATGTCTGTGAAGAGACCAAGGAGTGAGTGTTTCTGAAAGCAAGGTGTGGAATTTCCTGCATTGTCTTTCTTCTCCTTTAGAGTGTTGGGCCCACTGAGCCTTGTCCACAAACTTGTAAACCTCTTCTAAGATCGGAGAGGGTAGAAGGGTTTTCAGTTCCTGCAGAGTCTGGCTACTCTTGCTCTAGAGGGTATCTATAGTGAAATGGACCAGTCTTATCCTCTCACTTAGAAGCTGATTTTGTGCTCTCCTTAGAGTCAAATCTGCTCTGTATCCCCTGACAGTGGATCCAAGGCGCAAACTCTTAGGAACAACTCGGCTTTGTCTGCATCTTAGGTTGAAACGAAGATGGTTCCTATAATCCGCTAGTTTCCTTGATTCCTTTTCATACTCCCGCACCAGAGTGTTCCTCCCAAAATGCACAGCAATATGTCTGCATATGGGTCCTTTGGTCTGAGGTTCTGGAGGGACCAGTTAGAGACCAGCATCTGGATGTCAGTGGTTGGACTGGTGGACTACTTCAGTGAAGAGTAGACGACGTCTGGGTCTGGTTTGAAGTCTGAACACAAACACACACACAGTTCAAACAATTTGATTTAAGATTGTGCTTTACAACTTCTGTCACCGCTGTAGATGAAAAGTAAAGTATCATGCCTCTGTGCTGGGTCAAGCCTCAGGACTTCATCCACAACACATGTTATGGTCTCCCTTGCAGTGTAACGAGCCCGAGCAAGATTCCAGTCCTATCTAACCACATGCTCCATTCATTGCTTGAAGTAGATTTTCCTTTGTGTAAGGGTTTCAGTCGTATACTTTACATCTCCATGCTGAGAAAAACTTTCTGTAGTGTGTAATCGTTGCTAAGATGTGTTTGCAAACTGGCTGGCTTTGTGTGGTTTTTGACAGTAGCGCTTGATTTTGAGAAACGTTCAAATAGTTTGGGGTCAAATGATTGGCTTTACAAGACAAGTTGAAGGTTATGTGGGTGTAGCTTGTATTTCAAAGTTTGTGTTTAGTGCTTTGAGACAAAGAGATGAGATTTTAAGAAATGTGTTTTAGCAATTCAGAAAAACTGTAATATATATTAGCGTCCTGTGTAACACCTCTTATGACAGTTTTTTCTGGTTGCCTAAACCAGTGGTTCCCAAAGTTTTTTTTTTTGCTAGCCCCCCCTTTGTTTTACAAGAAAAAT